CCCGATGGGCCCACCCCTCCCCACCCCACCCTACGCATCGCCCTGCCGTGCCGTAACCGCCAATTTCGTCCTAATCGGTCGTCCAAAATAAACTGAACCAGTTTTGTTGTTTTCTTTTCTTTTTTTTTTCTGTGAAGTCATCTGTCCGCGCGCGGGTCCGGCCGCTAACGCCGCCGCCTGCTCACCGCACACACACACCGCACAGCACACTGAGCATCCCGTCGGGGGGCGAGAGACTTTCACACTAATGGACCGATGCGCCAAACGGCCCTCCACTAAAAAGTGTGATTAGCTGCGACAAGCAAAGTGGCGAGTTCACACGGACCACCACCACGAATAGGGTTGAGCTGAGACCGTTATGTTATCACGAAATAGGGAACTCCCCACATTTTTGGAGTTGTTACAACCTGTATTCCAAATGCACTACCGTCTTTCATTACAGACTTTAAAATCCAAAATTTTTCCATTAAAAACAATGAAAAAACTATAAAAGTATTTCCAGAAAACTTTGAAAAAAAAAGTGAAATTGCCCAGGAAATAATAAAGAAGTTAAGGAAAATCTTGACATATTTCCCCAAAACAATTCATTAGAAAATGTAATCACTACCCCTAACTGTGGGCTTTCATCTCCGTAGTTGCAAAACAACTGCTCGTAGTGGTGTGTGATGCGTGACGGTTGCGCGTCTTCACGCGCGCGACACAATAATGGCGGCAACGACCGTTTTGCAGGTGCGAAATAAGCTCTAATCCGCGCGCTACGCTGCGCTGTGGTCTGGAGGGAGACGCATACCGCCTCGCAGCGCCGAGTTAGACGCGAAGTTTCGCCCTTTCCGCCCTCGCCTCCGTCCCGCCCCCGTCGTGCTCTGCTATTAGCGCCAGGTCGAGTCTGCGTCTTACGTCGTCTGAGACAGAGACTGCGCGGAGCTTGGCGCCGAGCACACGAGTTGATGTACCAAAGCTGTTTGCGCACTCTGCCCCAGTTCCTTAATATTTCTTGAACATGTTATTTGAGTAAGGCGAGGCGGGCGCGGGGGAGGGAGAGACATCTGGAGCCCAAATCTGTGATTAGCAGCGCGCGCCGAGGAGGAAGAGACGAGGCGGGACGATGACAAGACAACGTAGGGAGGCTATACACTGTCTGCGCTGCTGCGTTTCCGACGTAAACCCCTTTTTGTGCTATAATTTTACATCTTACTCGTAGTAAAAACGTAAGGGACACTAATAGGAGCGCTGTACTTCATTGGAATAGGTTTAAGTTTTTCCAGAGCTCGTTATAAAGTCTGATGTCAAACAGGACGACAAAAGATTTTTGCTAAAATTTTACAGCGTGGCAATGACTAAAGAATCAAACGTACAGGGAGGCCAACTTTTTTTTTATTGCTCGAATCGGGACAGGATGAGGTCAGGAGAACATCTTTTTGACGCAGGGAGCCGAGCGATATAGCGGAAAACGTCCCGATTGTGGATTTCCGACCCCGCGATGTGACGTCTGGATCAAGCAGCAGCAGCAGCAGCAGCGAGCTGTCACCGCAAGGCGCCGCAAGGTGTCGAGAGTCAGGGAGCCGGGCTCCCGGAGCCCTTAGTTCCTTCAACCCCTCTCCGTCCTGCTCTAGTATTCCCTTCAGCTTCAGCTGGTCTGGCCTCTCTGACGCCCCCCCCCCTCCCCCCACTCTTCACAGCCCATTCACCCCAAGCAGCCCTCTCTAAAGGCCTTTCAGCGACTGAACCTCTCAGCCGTGCCCCCCTCCCCCCTCCCCTTTGCTGTCTATAGGCGAGTCTGCATAAATAGTTTCATTGTGTGGTTTAACGTCGTGAAAAAAGAAAACAATGCAAAAAAACTAAGTTTTAAGATTTGCTTTGTAAAGAAAGTTTAAAAACCGACAAAGTTGTAGTTTTTGTCGCATTATTATGATTTGTTTTAAAATGCTGTTATATTCCGTGTAAAAAAATAATGGTCGAGGTTAAATTTGAGAGTAAAACGTATAACATTGAATAATGCCGGAGGCTGGCAATTATTATTTCACTAATCCCATAAATCATGTGTGTGTTTCCGGCTCGGGACAGGTGTGTGTTGTGACAGTGGCCTGAGTGCTATTAGACGAGCATGGGGCGTGGCGCGGTGCACCAGTGCTTATAGTCTCGTCTGACGGCTTGCAGGTCACTATCACACCCACTGTAGTAAGTAGTGAGTGGTACTACTGGGTGTGACCCGGGGGCAGTCGCAGACGCGCATATGGGCGTGGTGTACTAGTGGGTGTTTTCGGTCTTGCAATGCACTCGCTTACGGCCCCGTGGAAGTTTCCTGTGTTTTCGTCCAGCGCGGGGTGGCGGCGGGTGGCGGCGTGGCGGAATAATACTCCTTCTGCGATCATTGATCGACTGCCATTGCACGGGGCAGGGCTTGATGGATAACAAAACATCCCGTGGGGCGGGGCCCCCGCCGCGCTCGTGTGTGTGTCAGTGTGTGTGTGCGCGTGTGTATGTGCGTGTGCGCGCGCGTGTGTGTGTGCATGTGTGTGTGTCTGTCTGTGTCTGTGTGTGTCTGTGTATGTGTGTGCGGCGGTGGAGGTCGGGCGGGATGTGATGCTCCGGGACAAAACTCAAACGACGACGATACTGACTCGCGCAGCAGAAGAAACAAAGCGAAGTGTCAACCATGCCGCAAAGCAGTCAGCCACAGCAGCAGAACAACCGTCGCGCGCTGCGCCCTTCAATACATTATAAAAAGAAATGCAGTGGTGTGAAATATCAAGAGAATGAGGAAAAACAACAAACACGAGACATGAAAACGCTCAATCAAAGCTGGCGCTTAACGTAATGAACTCTGCTCTGCTGGCTGGGGCATTGCTCTCGGATTCCTCTCCCTCTCCCTCTCACGGTAAAAATAAAAACAACGTCCGATTTTTTGTTGTTGTTGAGGAAACGGGGTACATTTTTGAATGAACTCCCATGATTTGATGAGAATAATATTCGTCAGATGTTCCCACATGTTTTGTTGGCGATGATTGTTTTTATCGTGCTCGATACGCGCCGCGGCCCCGGCAGTGCTTTCTCCTCGCGGGGGACATATTGGCGCGGCTCGCACTCCGGCCGAGTAAATCCGCGCGGCCGAATCATTAAGAGGAGAGCCGCGAAGTGAGTCCGGTGGGAGGTGTGACCAGTTCGGACCGGCTATAGCCGCGGCTGCTCCCAAGGCTATTAGGATACACTGCGCTGGAAACATAAACAAAACATGCGGCCAGGCGTAGTAGGCTTGCGCCACCACCCACCTGAACAACGGTAGACACAATGTCCGATTTTTATGATGGGAAAGGGAAGACGTTGAGGAACTCCCTGATACTTGAGGAAAATCTCCACAGATTTTTGAGGAAACTCCTCAAAATATGAGGGAAATTCCTACACGAGGAGACTCTCTCGGCCCGTACACTTTTGAGTACAGTTTTGTTCACTGTCACTTTGTTATCCAGATAGATTTGCATAGCATTTTTGGCACATAGCTGCGTCCAAAAAAATGCGCTTAAAATGCAGGCCCTCCTACCTGGGGTGCTCGGTCGATCCCGAGGTGAAACCGACAACGCTTTATTCGATCTTCCTCAATTCAAAAACTTGTTGCAAATGGAAATTGCGTCGCGCTGATACGAATGCTTCTAGCGAAATCAATTGGTCAAGAACACGCTCAGCTGGGCGCGGCTTTGAATCATCATCGACAGCAACGTTTCCGTTGACGGCATATGCTGTGCACTCGCTCCACTCCACCGCCGCCGCCGCCACACTGCCACACTGCAACGAGGACTGTACATATTTTTTCTTCTTTTTATCGCGCCACTACTAACCAAATTGCGTCGTATCTAAAATAAAACATGTGGTCCACTCACGTGCCGCGCGGCGCTGACGTGTGTCTATACCGCCCGCCTCCCGCGCTCGGGTTAGTCGCGGCGGCGCCCCGGCGGGACACGTCAAATCGGATGACTTGAGTTATGTCTGCGTGTCGCGTAATATCGCGGGGCGGGGCGGGGCGGGGCGGGGCGCTCTGCTGTTATCAGCACCACACCTGGAACATATCCAGTTAGCATTTTTCACGGCGATTCCGCACTATGCACGGCGCGGAGGCGATGCATGCATCGTGCACGCACGATGCACGGTGCACG